TGCGGGCACCTCTTAGGGAATGGACTTGTCGAGGCGCTGCTGGTATCTAGCAACGGGGGTCTGGATGAGACGATGGTAACACGTTTCTCTAGGGCGCTGCTCCTGCATCTATTGCTCCATGTCAAAGTTGATGCCCCGACGACAGGCTTCCACGTGGCCACTTTGACTGCCGGCGCGAGACGGAACGAGGCTCCGTGAAAAGCCTCTACTGTCGCACTGGTCGTCGGCTATAGATCCTGTGCTCTGTTGGGAATGCAGATCTCATACTGAGTGCACGGCTCGGGTGATAATGATATTATGTCTCGGGAGACGAGCAATGATTTTGCTAAGCTGCGAGTAACTAACAACCGGAATGCATCGAAGCAGACATGATGCTGGCGGTGACGATCCTTTTCAGGCGCTGCAAAGTTCCCAGCAACAGTGGCTTATAATACGCCTTCCTCAGAGAACTAAGAATGCCCCTGCTACGTCCCACCAATAGGGAGCTCATAACAAAGGGAGTCTACTGAAGCAACCTTAGGACATCTCAGCCACTGCCGATCAGTGCGGAACGAAAGGCGCACCGGCGGTGGAGGTGCCCAGCAGCGTCTTAGGCGCTAAACTACGTCAGATGTTCAAGATACATCTCCATTCTACCACCCCCATAGGTTGGAAGCTTTTGCCAATCACAAAAGCCTAACAAGATGGGTCGACATCAGTGTTGAGTGCAACTCATGTCGAGCTTGACATCTTGGGCCCGTTCAGACACCCTAGCTGGATACCTGCCTTTGGGAAGGAATAAGCAGCTGAGCCGCCGAATGCAAGTTTATTGTGGCAGGCAGAGGGGGCAGATATCGTGTCTAGAAGATTGGCGTATTAGCGCCGGGTCCTGGCTCTGCGCCGCTCGGACATGCATCCATGCGTTGGTGAAGACCATTTAGACGAGTAATACTCGTAAAGTACATTACTGGTCATGCTATTAGCGTGGGTTTGGCTGGTTTGAATGCCGATACTGACCCGAAACATGGTGCGCTAGAGAAACACGAGAAGACTGGTATGCACTGCCGAACAGTTACGGGACATGAGGAATGGGGCGAAGGTAAAGACTCTCTTGATGCAGGCAGAACCAAAAGGTAAGTGAGCTGCGGAAGGAAGATTTTTCGGGATTACTGAAGTAATAGGCTGGTATCTGACATGGAGAAACCCTCAAAGAAGATAATGGTTCCCAGCTCTGACTGAAGACCGTGAACGGCGCAGTATCTACATCATGTGTCGGTCAAGAGGAGGCTTACAGAGCTTCGCAAATCTATCCTGTAGGTCTTTAAGGATTTGGTTGCTTACATTCAGGTCCATCAAAGGCCCAGACCAGCGCGCTTCGTGTCAAGCATCCGGACTCCTAGCTGGATCTGATTAGATGTTGCTCATAACACTAGCAGATACTAGACAACTTCTCTTGAGAACAAAGCGCAATCCGAACTGGCGTGGGCTTGCTCCGCGGGTGCCTCCCTACCACCTTCATAAGTCGCGATCTAACAGCTACTAAATAATATGTTCGGCTCACTGCGTCATCTAGTTCACACACGCTGGATGAGATTTCATGATTCGACCGTAGCTCCTTTGACTGAACACCGACACTAGGGCGGGGCCTTTATGTAGGACCACTGCCGACTCCGAGACTGCCGATGTATCCGCACTTGCATTGGCCCAATCTCGATTCTCCCGTCTACATCGGCTCGGTAACCATAGCGTGCAGCGCTTGATATGTTTCACGCCCGATGACATTGACGTATCTTTGATCGCCACACTCGCGCGTCATCTAGCGTCAACCCTACGGCTTTCATTGCGATCCCTGCTCGCGAATATCTTCGACCCAACGACCACTCTGTCTTTCGGCGCGGTGACGACAATCCTGCGCGCCCGTATTGCAGTCTGCAACACCTTTTTCCTCCATCTCAGAAGGATCCAATTGTCAGCGCAATCTTGTCCAATGTCTCCCATGCCGGACTCAAGCGGCTACTAACACAGAATTAGGCTTGCCATGGTAGAGCGCCACACCAAATGCACCTCCGTCACCCGTCCCGTTCCCAAATTACAACGGCAATGGGACGAGCTGCGCCGAACGGTCTACTGTTAAGAACACACTCTCGTACGCGAAAAACGCAGATCTTTTGAGCATCAATACGCGATCGAGAAACCATCATACGGGAGATCGGGAGATTTCGTGTGCGAGTAATTAAGGGCCACGTTTAGATGATCGTGAAAGAAGCCGGGCTAGTATAGAATGCGATGTCACCGTACGGCAGCGTCGACGACGGCAGACGGGGAGCCGTGCTCGGCCGGTGCGGGAAAGGAGCTCATGGCGTCTAGGAAATGTGCTACAGCGGCAAAGGGGTGATCGAAATGAAGAGTCCATTAAGAACGTCTCGCTTGGAGAGGAGAGAAGACTTGAGGATCGGGCTCTGAACTGGCGGATGACTGGCAGCAGTGAAACGAGCTGCTCCGACAACTTGTTTATGTAGATACTCAGCTTCGACGGTCTGTAGTTGGTGCTGCTCTGAATGCGGAAGGTAGGATGGACCACGAACTCTCTCTATTGTATTGGACGCGAGATGCCGATATCGTGTGTCCTTTGAGTGAAGGGTTCCAACTGTGCTCGGGGTGACGTTCGGAAGTAATTCGGGGAGGAAATGCTGCTATGATTCCGATGCGCTTCGGAAGGAATCTGCACTTCTCAGCTTGCTGCTATCAATCAGTGCAGAAGGATTATAGAGCTAGATATTATAAGCGCACATTTGTTCAGGCTGTGACCCTTTGTGACCCTTTGTTAATGCTCTGCGATGTGATTCGATGGAAGAGACGGTCCATAGACTGGTGAGTGCCATGTATCAGTCCTGAAGTTAAGTAAATAAGAGACGAGTGGCCGAGAGCAGTCCAAGTGGAAATTAATGCAAGATCTTGAAGGAAATGCGCCAGAAGGGTTGATACTCGTTGCTGTTGTCGACGTTGAATTGAATATGAGAACAAGAGGACGGGGGGTGACGAGGCGAGGCATGTACTCGGCCTTGTGATTACAGCCGCTGTCACGGAAAAAGCCATGGAAGGCGGAAGAAATCTTTAGCAAAGTCAAACGTACCTCGGCGTCGGCGAGAGGAAAGCTGAGGAGCCTGCTGATAAGCCTAGAAGTCAGAGAAGCGTCTGTCCTGCCCTGCAACGCGCGTAAACTATGTCTCTCGCTCAACTTGCCTAATCCAATCAACAGGTGTGTATACTAATTACGTCATATGTAGCTGGATATATTTGCGAATGCTAGATCAGATGTGTCTTGATACATCTGCAGCCCGAGGCTTACTCGCTGCATCTTCCCTCCAAGACGCTGCAAGGTAAAGTGACGGCCGTCTCAAGGTACGGACCGACTCCGAATCCGGGCGGCGTCACGCCCAGCTCTGAGACTGCACCATTTCTCGCGTTTTAAAACATTGTTCGTCTCCGCTTTCTTTCGTTGCGATCAACCCCACAGGAATGTCTTCTTCCATCTCAGGCACGAGCAAGACTCAATGTCTATTAAACTTTGATGACGGAGCTGCGAAACCAGCAGCATGAATATCTCCATCAACACGTTTCGTACTCAATTCGATGACAGATCTGTAGGCTATTGCATCAATGCTACGCGGCTAACGGTCCCGATCGAGCTGCCTTACAGCTCGCGTTTGACATGGGGGATACTGACGGACTTCCTCAGCAATACGTCGCCAGCAATGCCGAACAGCAGCTTCGCCCACCGCCCGGACACTTCAGCACCGATGACCAAGATTAGGGTCTGCGACGACGATGACGGTTATCATCTTTCTGTTGGTCTTCTAGAGTTTCTTGCCACAGAGGCTACCCATCAATTCCACGACAACCACGCGCTTCAGCATGACGAGTCTGCATGTTAGAGCGTATGTTAGTAGTGTTTTGGTCCAGAGGGGCGGCATACCCAATCAAGATGACTGTCTCGACTCAGGATGTCTGTTCTTTCAATGTATTCCATAGCTGGGTGGCGTCACTGAGTCAAGGATCAGTCCTTGAATTCAGTAGTACTTTCTTAATTATAGGTAGACTGCCTGGATTAGACGCAAGCGAGCGAGGATTCAAGACTAAGTTAACACGATGTGTAAGTAGTCATGACTCCAGACTGCATACAGGCACGAGGTGCGCTTCATTGGACGTCTCGCCCAGGTGAAGAAGAATCATGATCACTGGTCTGCTGAATAGGCTTGTGCCGAGACGTCCCCGCACAGTATGGGCATCGGAGTCATCCCTGGAAGCGTTGAATGTGGCCACTGCCAGATGACGCTGAGGCCTCCCGTGGAGGTTTTAAGCACTATGAATTGCGTAGTCCTTAACCTTTTAGACTGGTAGGCGAGATTGAGATCTTTTGGACAATGAGGAAGCTTTTGTGTCTATTGACCCGCGCAGCGGCTGATATGGGAGTAAGGACATGACTCCGGCTGTAGTCTCGGCACATCAGACCCTGGTATCGGCACAGCCAAGTTTTGCGTTGGGCGAACAGCTTACAGGCCCAGCGTATGCGGGCTGCAAATGGTCGCGGTACAGCTAGGTGATGGTGGTCAAGCGTTTGGACAGCCTTGAACGCGTGTCATACGCGAGAATTGGCAAGGGTTTATCATCCATAGGGTTAAAGCAGTGCAATCATTGAGGTCTATTAGACACAGCTCCTAAGATTGGCATTTGATGTTGCCAAGAAGCGCGATACTACACTACTGCGAGAACACTTGAACCGACATAGGGATCATAATATCAAACTTGAACCAGCACAAAAAGCTACAAGTATTGCATTTTCATTTTCACTAGCAGGTAATGATTTGCTCCGCAAGCGCCATCGGAGAAATAAATACATACAGCAGAGAGACGGACAAAGTCCCATAAAGCAAGCCATCGTGTACAATCTACTAAGAGTGAATGATCCTCTGACGCAAAAAAGACAGCTGATAGTTCCTCTGTCTAGAAGTTCACCACTGCTAGAACAAATCGGTATTCTTGCCCAACTGCTGCAGGGCTATCTGACGTCGATTAACATCCTCTAGCTCCAAGGTGAGCTGTGTCAACAGAGCATCCACGCCTTCCGTTGCGTATTGAATGTTGAGAGCCCTCCTCTTCATGGCTCGACACCTTGATGCTAAGAGACTTGCAAAGTCCACCTCGTCTTGAGCAGGGTCGATGATTGCACGCATTTTGTGTAAGGCGGCTCGTCTGGAATCAGCCTTCGCAACGCATGCCTGAAGCTCCGCCGAGGACATAACAACAGGATATGCTGTCCGGAGCGTATTGAACGTGTTGCGTATGCCTTCAACTCTAATACCGTAGGCTACCAGCCTTTCAGTACCAGCCGACACCTGTGATGTTATGCTCTCCATCATCTTCCGCTTCCACTCCCGCCTCATCTCTTGGGCGGCTGACAGGTTTTGACCCGTTATCTTGGCTCCCTTGCGGAGCGTGATCGGCTCATCTTCGACCAAGTTGATCTCGTCGTAGCCAGGATGTAGCTTCCAAGCGGTCATCGCGGTGCGTGGCGGCGTCAGGAGAGTCTCAAGGACGCGCCTCCAGAGAGACATGTCAACAGGCTCAGAAGACAAACGTTCCGTCAAGATGTACATCGCATTGACAAGTACCGCCACGCCGCAGTCGGTGTCGTTCTCTTGCTGGATACCGAGCTTCCAATCAAAGTTGGCCAGCACATTTGGCAGCCAACGTGGGGAAACCTTTGACAGTGCGTTCATCGCTGCACTCTCGGCGTCCTTCTTCCAGGAGGGAGATTGGCTGAACAACGAGTCCCAAATTTCAAAAGGCCCAGAATGTCGGCATACAGCCAGAACCCAGTGCTCTTCCTTAGGCAGATGAAGTGGAAGTAGTATCGTCTGGCTCTCTGACATGGCTTCGAAACGTGCGGCGAGCGGAGGCGAAGAACCTTGAACGATTTGCGTGTGAAGGATAGACACTGCGCCTGGGGGAGTGGCCCCGCTGATCAAGTCGAACAATGTGTTCATAGCGTCGCAATTAAGTCGTACACCAGGCCGTAGCCTTTCCGAAACCCCAGGCGGTAGCCGTGACCAGTCAAAGTGGCAGGAATCCTTGGTTAGGCCTTGGTCACCTGTGGATTGGTGTTGTCCTTCTGGCGTGCTGTCCTGATCGACATGTGCGTCTTCAACCGGCTTTGGAGTTGACGTCCCAGCCATAACCATGGTAGACACGCAAGGCGTGAGAGGAGTGACGAGGAATGAGTCTTCAGAGACCAAGGTCAGGTTTTTGGGCGGAGCAGAGTTGGGTGTAAGTGGACTGGTGGACATCGGATGTGGGTGATGGCTGGAGACCGAAGATGCGCCGTCGATGGAGCTGCTCTGATGGATGTCCTGTGTGTCCGAGCCCGGTGGGATGACACCCAGGTCATCAATAGAGTCGATCACTATGTCGTGCTCAGGCACAGCCCCGGCCAGGTCAATGTCTTCCAGCTCGCTGTGTTCAAGGCAGGAAATAATGGTCCTTGACCTCTTGTTTTCAGCCTCCCGACTGTGTTCGTCAGTATCAGAAGTCACAGTCTGATCCACCTCCAATTGAGCAGCAACTTGCTTTTGGAGAATAACAAGAGCGGCCTGGACGTCCGAGGGAACCTACTCCCTCGTTCGAGAGACTCGCTCTGGGCCGTTGCCTGATCTCCTTTGACCTCGTGCCGTTTGCAAGACGGGATAGGCAACCTCGAAGCTGTGAGAGAGAGCCAGCGTCTTCAGATCGTCGAAGAAGCGCCTACTGGTTACGAAGTTGAACGATCTGAGAAGGGCTTCGGGGGTGATTTGCCAAGCTTGGCTGACGGACCTGACGACTCCACCGAGCTTGTTCCCTGCCGGTCCCTTGACGACGTTGTAGAGAATCTGGATAGATCCGGGCAACTGCGCAAGTATCTGCTGACTGGTATGGGTGGCCTTGTACCGCGTGAGCACTGCCTCCAATTCATCCAAGTGCGCGGTTATATCATTGTTCTCCTCGGCGTGACGAACCAAAAGATCGAGGTCTTGATGCAGGGTGCGGACTGGCGTGACGAGCAGAGGTTCGGGGCGATCTGGACAGAAATAGTTAGCCGGAATGTAGAGGAGAATCAGACAGCTTGATCACCTTGCGTGACGTTGCGATCCTGCCCTGACGAGCGGGATCCCGTGACCTTTTCTGCCGAAGATGAATCTTGGATTGGCTGCATGGGACGCACTAACGACGACCACGATGGCGCGCTTGACAACCTCGCCATGGATGCTCCTTGTCTAGTTCGCGGCCTTCGACGCAAGGACTTTGCGAGACGCGACGCCTTGCATCGGCTTCGTTCGAGATAGAAGCACCGGTACTCGGACAGTTGAGCGGTCTTGCCCACTGGCCTGCGTGAGGGTGAAGTCGAGGCTCTTAACGAGCGTGTGGGCGAAGGAGAGGATTGCAGCTCGAAGAAGAAGAGAAGGGAGTAGGAGAGGATGTCGAGTGGAGATGCGTAGAAGAGACGGTGTGCAGGTGACAGGCAGAAGTCATGACGAGGAAGGTGCGGCCATTCGAGTAACACCACCCCTTCCCACCGCCAACCTTCCACCATCTCAGGCTGCCTGGGCGGTCCAGGCAGGTACGTCCTCCAGCGTGCACCTCCTCTGTAATGTGTCGCGCCCCGTCTGTCACTGCGGTTTCATCAGCTACCTACTCCAGTACCTTACCTACCTCCAAGATGCGACGGGCCCCGAACGTACCTGGCTTGGGTCCAGAATCATTTGAATCGCTGCCACTTCTCCCGTGTCCCCCGACGCAGGCTTTTCAACCATCGACGACCGAACATGCTTAGACCATCGGATACATACTCTCCGATCGTATTGCCTGCAGATCTGCCCAGTCTACGCGTGCCACTCGCTTGGACTGCTTCGAAGTCGGTCTTGTCTACAGTGCTGGCAGTGGCTTTCTCGTCTGGCGTCTAATTTGCGTGCACACAGAATGATGTGCTCAGTATTTCAGGAATAGAGACTGCAGGCAGCTGCACTGGGTCAGAAGCGACACAATCAAGTAATGTCCAGCGCAATCACCGCAGAGCCTCAGAATCACGTACCGCAATGGATTTGCCTTGGAGGATGTTGGCAGTTGCGCCACTATATGTACCGATCATGTCAGACGTCGCCGGCGGGGGGTGGGTGGTAGCTTATGGGAAGTAGTAGCTCAGCTTGCACCAGGGCCAGCTACCACTTCATGGTGGGGTAGGTGGGGGGCGAGGTGGTAGCTCAGCTTGCACCAGGGCCAGCTACCACCTCATGGTGGGGCAGGCGGGGGGCGAGGTGGTAGCTCAGTTGCACCGGGGCCTGGCTACCACTTCATAGTGGGACAGGCGGTAAGGTAGTTAGTCAGGTTGGCGTTGACTTTCATCTGTGGTTCCGGTTCGTTCAGACGAACGATTTTCGATGGAAACCAATCAGTCATAAGCCTGCTGTCCGTCAGGCGCAAACAGAGGACAGCCAGGCGACGGTTTTAACTCTTGAGTGAGCCCTAAACGGGATGCCTGACGGAAGTGCCTTACTCTACCCGCTGGAGCAGTGAATTTCGCACAACCCTGGCCCGGGCGCTTGGGTGCTTATTATTCTATTGGTTAGATATGTGGGGTTTGTGCGGAATCACGGTGGGTGGTTCTACTGCTTGAGGTGCGCTGGGATTCAAACGGCAAAGTGAACCGTCGTATGGGAGAGGGAGAGATTGAGGGCAGATGTGGCTAGGAACATCTGACATAATCGGGGCAGATGTGGCACATTTCCCGCTATCGTTCAGTGCGTTTCGTAAAACGCAGCACCGTTGGCAGTGTCACTAAACGCCCTGTCTTTGCTTCCCGTCCACAACTTTCTAACTACAGCGCCGTTTACCGCGACAAACAACGAGCCGGCGAAGCACCTGTGGATCTTCAGACTAGAAAAGGCCGAATCGCGACACGACCGACCTGCGACTTACGACAGCTCGGGGTAGAACGCATCATCTGTAGAGGTTGCCGTGCGCCGTCAATTTGAACATATCCGTCGAAGCATGGCCGTGTACAACAGGAGAAAATCACAAGGTCGGAAGCACACTGCATTATCGTGTCATATCCCGAGCCCAAGTGGTCCTACTCATCATTACATCAAGCGAGGCGTGGCTGTGATGCAAGGCACTTCGGGAGACATCTAACAATCAGTCGGATCAGCTAGCTGGACCCCATGGAAGTATTCTCTTGGTGTCAGTGCAGCATTTGAAGTTCGACTGCCTGTCAAGCGCAGCGGCAATCCGACTCTTCAGTGGGAAGGTGGGGTGGCGTGTAACGCGCCGCTGCCATGCTGGAAACCGTATGGGCGGCGATTGTGACAGACGGGAAGGCGGAGGTGCAGGCCCCAGGGCAAAGGCAGGAGCAGGGGCCAGACATGACCCGGAATGAGGGGCGCGCCGTGGATAAGTGGGAGAGGCGGAAGAGACGACCACGTAGAAGGAATGAGAGATGCAAGCTCCAGCGCGAGGGCAGGAGCAGAGAGAAAAGAGGGAAAACGTCGCCGCAAATCAGGGATTCGATACGGAGCGGTGGGGTCGAAATGGCTGTCGAGGGCCGAGTTTGCGGGGCACAAACAACTCGCTGGAGTCGAGTCTCGAGGCGGTGGGAAACTGAGATCAGGGCTTGACGTGCGGGCGCGGAGCGAGGAGGGTGGCCGATGGGGAACAATCAAGCCGCCGAAGCAAGTGGCTCCCGCAGTGTTGGTGGCAAGCATCCACCAAGAACAGACGCGATAGGAGGAGGGCGTGGAAGGGCTCGGCGTGGGAAGCAGTGGAAATGCGGGGACCTGGCCGAAAAGGAAATTGGCGAGGGCCTGCGGTGCAGGTTGTAAAATAGTACAACCTGCAACGTGGTGGGAAGGTGCGTACCTGCCAGGGACCGTAGGAGTAAGTCGTCCACGGGTACAATGGATAGCACCTTACGAACCAAGGCCCAGGAAGCAGGTGACCCAGCACCCGGGCTTTCCACCTCGGCGCTAGATCGGTCCGGTGTTGTTGTTTCTCACCTTGATCGGTGCTTTTTGCGAGCAAGCGAAGGTACTGATATCCCAACCCTCCAGTAGGTGTGGCCGTATGCGTCGGAGGAGGAAAGTATTATGCTTATGAAGGCTGTCCACTTCAACTCAGCCTGACGTCGTAATCCCGATTGCGACGAAGCGTCCAGGCCCATGGCCACGCGGGTGGTGCATCTTACCTTGCCCCACCCCCGGCCCGGCGAGTGGACCCAACAGCGAGTACCCGACAGCGAGTGGACCCGACGACGAGTGCACCGGTGTCTCTCCGTGACCGCGACCAGGCTCCGTGTCATTTACGGACGTAATCTATGGATTAGTTTGCAACAATCGGACGCAACTGCAAAAGTACGTTTCGTTCCGGATGTCCGCAAGCTAACGAATAATAAAAGATAGATGATCAGCTTAACACTGTGCTGGAGCAACGTCTCGTATCTTCCGTCGACTCCAATTAAGGCCGTCTTGGGTTCCTGTCTCGACGCTTGTCTCAGGGAAAATGCACAGAAGGTTGGGTGCGAGTGGGATGGTCTGTGCCTTGGCTTACAAAAGTGGGTCAATGTACACCTCAGGGAGCACAATGGCCCATGCACATTTCGTGCAGGTAGGTACCTTACAGATGTGGCCTGCCCCGCTATGAAGTGGTAGCTGGCCCTCGTGCAAACTGAGCTACCACCTCGCATAAGCTACTACTTCCCATAAGCTACCACCCCGCTTCAGTGTTAAGCTGCCATCCCATGCTAGGTAAGTATGTAACCGAATGCCGCCGTTTGACGTGGCCCCACCTAAGATGGGAACAACGCCAAAATACGTCCCCACTAACAACTGAAGTGCGGCGCCGGGTCCGACGCCATGATCGCGCCCGCGCCCAGCCTACTACTGCATGGTTCTCAGCGCTCGTCACGAGCAAAGACAACTTATTCGCTGTGTTTTTTGTTCAAAAAGGACTTCTGAAAAGATGCAAACAGAAAAGGCACTGTCTGTGTCGCGACGAGGGCGCTGGGCAGCCAACATCAGATGTGGCTAGCCACATCTGATATCATCAGTACGTACCCCAGCTATGCCACTTACTCCAGCGTGCCTTTTAATCCCCCGCCTGCTGTCGTGACGCACTGGACTATTGCCGCTGATGTGTGGCAGTTGTTGAGAACTGTGACTGCAGATCGGATCCATCAATTATCGTTCTTGAGTTCTGAATTATCGTTCTGATTTGCCGTCTCATGTGGTCGTCGGCCAATCTCATCACATCCGCCTATTGTCCCCATAGACACCTAACTTGCACGGACACCGCCACCACTCGAAATAGAAGGTCTGGGCTATGGGTCATGTCCCCTGTACTCGCTTGGGGGGCAACGACTTGAGGTACTGAATCAGCGCTCGTAGCACTGCAACCAATAACGCTGCCTCTAACACCTGCCTAACTTCTAGCAGGACGATCTCGTCGTCGGCAGTGTCGTCGGGTCCGGTCAGGGGGGCGTCTGCAGTAGCCGTCTTCTTCTTCTTCGCAGTCGCGGGACCTTGCCGCGGTTTTTCTCAGCGGGGGCCATGGTGGGTAGATGACGAGGGCGTCCGGCGAGAACGTGTCGTAGGTTGATGGGTAAGGGTTCGCTGTCGAGGCCGGATGGTGTCTGCCGTGGGGATCGCCGGGGGCAGAGGGGGACAGGCTGAGGTGGACAGCAAGCCGCGCTAGTGGAGACGCTAGCCAAACGGGACTAGACGGCACCGACCGGCTGGGTCACCACGTGGAAGAGGTGGTTGCCCCACTTGAGATCATCTTCCGTAAAGTGCACCGGTCTCGCAGATGCGGCGATCGCCAAGGGACGCGGCGGGGGTGGGTTGCAGGGTCTCTTGGGGAAGGGCTGATGCCGGTGCGAAAAACGGGGTTGGCATTCGGGCGGCCTGTTCTTGGGCGAATGGGATCGCTGCACAAAGATCACACAGGCATTGGTCGCCGGCGTTAAGGTATGAAAGATGGTGAGGTGGTGCGAGGTATCGTCAAAATGTCGCGACAGGGCCTGTCTCCTGCAGCTGAGCAAGACAGCTTGACAAGTCGATCTGGTGACATGCGAAGCTTGATTCGCGTGAAAGGGACGGCGGGCTTTGTACCTTTGGTCGTGGTTCCGTGGCCGCGGTGCTCAAGCCCCCCACTCGCCTGGAGGAGTGCAGGTCGAAAGTCGAAAAACCACCACCAAAAACTTCGACCTGCAGCGTG